GGAGAAATGAGTCCACGCCTAATAACTTGAATAACCCCGCTACTCTTTTTGTAGAAACTCTGAGAGATAATTTTCTATTCCAACATGCTAGAGACCCAACACATTACAGAGGGGAGCAAACACCCAAGCCACTAGACTTCATCATAACAAACAAAGTGACCAAATTTTAATTTTAATTCAGATTTAACTGTTACCAAGTTCATGATAAAGCCAGGCCAAGGTGCAAATATTACAAAGTGTAAGAGGATGCACCTGGGGCGTACCAACAGTAAGGAGGCGTATCACATGTCCCAATGAGATGAAGAAACTGCACTATTTGAGACAATGTGAGAATGGACCTAGATGTGTATGTTGACAATGAGCTGAAGTTCTCGGGCCATTGTGAGAAGAAGGTAAATCAGGCAAATAAATTATAAGGTCTTGCAAGTAGGTCGTTCAAATATCTAGACGGTCCTTCCTTTGTAACGATCTTCAAGAATGAAGTGCTTGCTCATCAGGAGTACTGTCACCCCATCTGGTCCCCAAGATATGCTAGGGACTGTCAGTTGATTGAAAATGTTCAAAGGAGGGCCACCAGACTGGTGCCTGTACTTCGGCACCTCAGCTACCCTGAGAGATTGGAGCGCCTGAACTTGCCTAGCTTATACTACAGACGGGCAAGGGGCGACCTAACTGAGGTATATTAACATCTCAAAGGGCACTACTTAGTCGAGTGTCCTTACTTGGAGCTGGCAGATGCTCGCCCCACAAGGGGTCACAGCTCAAGATTGAAGAAGCCACAAGTCCAGAAAACTGTGAGGGCAAACTTTTTCGGAGTGCGAGTTGTGAACTCTTGGAACAATCTACCAGAAAGTGTTGTGACGGCACCGAGTGTGAGCTCTTTTAAGACAAGACTTGACCAACACTAGAACAGGTTCAGGTACATTCAGGACCCTGGTGCATGCCCAGTACTTGCCAACAGTGTGTAATAGAGACGTGACCAATCGCCCAAGCGACTAACGAGCCAATCAGTAGTGAAGAGGATAAAGTAAAATTAAAAAGCACAGATATTAATGAACACGGAACATGTACCAGATCTCCGTTGGGAGTACAAATTTGATGGTTTACTCACAACACATATAACCTAAACTTTACCTAACCTAACCCAGTGATGTCAAGCTCAAAACCTTTCGAGGGCCAATTCTTATTTTAGTTACCCTCTTCAGGGTCAACACAAGTGCTATATCACATATTTGCAGGAATGAAGTTTACAGCTTCACCCATTGCCTTACCTAGCTTACCAGGACTACCTCATTTGGGTTTTTCTGATCTTAAGTATGTAAAATTCATTTTACTAAATAAACATGATTACCTGTATATCTATTTCTATCATAATTTCACAGGATGATAAATTTTATCGTCATCCCGCGGGTCACACCTGACCATCCCAAGAGCCACATTTGACCCGTCAGCCATGAGTTTGACACCCCTAACCTAACCTGACTTTACCTAACCCAAATTTACCTTACCAAACCTTTACCTAACCAAACCTTTACTTAACCTTACCTTACCTTACCTTACCTTACCTTACCTTACCTTACCTTACCTTACCTTACCTTTCCTTTTTTAAAATCCATTTGTAGAGACAATCAAAGATTAAAATGCATAATAGTGGTATCCTAAGTTATGTTTATATATCATAAACATATAGATATGTTGGAGAAATGATTATAAAAAGTTTGTTATCTCTGCAAATGTATTTTTTTAAAAAGAAATAGAAAGTTTTCTAAAAAATTTAATTGTTTGTCATGTGCTTAGGTTAGGTTAGGTAGGGTAACGTTAGGTTAGGTTAGATAAGGTAAGGTAAGATTTGGTTTTGTTAGAGTAAGATACATTCCATTAATTTTGCTGGGAATAAAAATCACAACTGAATGTATCAGATAAAAAACCTATGAACATAATTCTTTTTCTAAAAAAAAAAAAAAACCACTTAATTTTTACCCACCTTTTTTATTAGGTTTGATGAACTTAGATTGGGTCAGGTATTATTTAACTGCGAGCCATGGGCACTTCTTGGATACTTGGCAGAATAGCTTGTTCCTAGCCATACCACGGCAAAGGCTATTGGTTGAATATGCAAAAAGGTGGAGTCGAGGCAAATAAGTTCACTTGACCTCGTATTTGGCTTTCACTGCTGGCATATCTACTGCTATACCACATTAATAAGGTCTAGATGCAAGTTTACTCTGTCCAAAAAAATATTTGTACCATAAATGTGGACAGTACAAACCTTCCATTTTAGTACAAATTACTTGAAAAGTTATAAGAAGACAAAAGATGCATCTCTTCCATTCCGCGACAAATTTAAACACACTCAAGCCTTTTCTTATCGTAAAAAAAATGAACCAAGAGAAACCATAATATCGTATTTTAGTATGTTGATGATAAAACAAGTCTAACAAGCTTTATTGCAACATATATTAATAATTTTTTCATGCAAATGGGAACTAGCGATTTACTATATCCGGGTTGAGCATGTTACAGCAGCTAAGGAGGTCCTGTAAGTTACGGCCTCGAATACGGACTCGCCTACGCAGTCCACTGACAAATATTTGTTTTGAGTATACCGATCGGAGACTGTAACTCCAGTTACGGGGTAATCAAAGAGATACAGTCCCATAAATGCTTTTGAGTATGTGGCCCCTGACCAACACTGGCCCAATGTACATTCTGGAGCCAGTGCCTGTTTGCCACCAATACAGAGACAGGCCCACCAATTGAAATTTAAAATGAAACAAAAATAACATGTGACGATAAAATTGATCAACACAGTTTTTTATTTAGTTAATTATTTATGCTCAAATGGCAGCAGACTCGTCAAAGAAATGCAGCCTATCACAAACAATTATCAATTAGGAAAAAATTTATGATAAAATTATGGTTAACATTTGACAATACAGGTATACATTCAAACTTAAAATGGGTTAACAAGCGAAAAAAAATAAATAAAAAACACAGATCCATGTGATAATAAGCTTGATCAAAACAAAAACATATCAACAGTTGATAATAAAATTTATTAACAAAAACAGGGTAAAATTGGATGAGACTAAAATCATCTAAAAACTAAACATGATAACATAAAAGACTAATAATAAAATTGATTAAAACTTAAAGTAGTTAACATTTCAGGGAAAACATTATTAGGCAGGTTAAAATATGATGACAAACAAAGCTAAATTTTGTTTAAAACTTTTCTGGATAAACATTAATTATCACAACCGAGAGGTTAAAAAACACATTCGATTTTCAATCAGATACCGCATTTCCTCTAGGCTGGGAATAGATCTTCACTCACATGGAAATACAGAGGAAGTACAGTACAGTACTGTATCTCTTGGATTTGTAATTTTTAATTGTTCATGACTACAGTAGTCTATTTATTAATTAACCCAGAAAATGCGCTTAAAGACTTTCGTGACTAAATTATTTAAGAGCATGAAAAGTTTTGTTGTTGAAGTACATTGATGCATTATAATATCAAAAGGTACTTTGTGGGTGTTTAATGTAGGTCTCGCCCTAAGAGGTCCCAGTGGGGCAAGTGGCTATATGATTAAAAATTTATAAGCCAATTATTCAAGTCTCTCTCTCCCTTCCAAGCCACAGAACTGTGGTTTGTTGTTATGGATAACAGGTACAGTGTGGAAAAATGAGAGATGTACCTGCTTGACTGTTTATATTAGACCTTTGTAAGAAGGAAATGTGTTTTGATACCTGTAATAATAAAAGCTAAAAAATCTCTAGAATATGAATATGACTGGACATTATTGATCTTATTATACCAAGAGAAACTATATATGTAATGCATGAAATATTGTATACGGTACTAATAAGACTGTGACTTACTGACACACAAATAATTTATCATTGCATTGAATATACTGTACTACTGTACTGCAGTACTGTATATGAATAACTAGTGTATGACTTACAGTAACTGTTAGAAATAACTATAAAAAAAATGTTAATGATCATCCAATCTAAGTTTCACATCATACTGACCAATTGAAACTAAATGTCTGCCCAAACAATATATTTCATGCATCTCTTTCACCAACAAACCTGCCAAACATTCACAAGTCAATGCCGGTTGTCTTTTTTTACCGGCTTTTGTCCAAGGCTGTCACCCAGTTGGAAGCAATAACAATATTCAGTAGTTAACAACCTGCACTTTGTATTTTGGCTATATGGTATACTGTACTGTATAGTTACTGTGTCCTCTTCACTCTATTCAGAAGTTGTGAGCAACATCCAGAGATGGTGTTAATTGAAGAAGAGGCTTTTAAGTTTCTTAGAGAGAAAGGAAGTTGTAAGTTTGATGACCCCAAAAAAGTCATGTAGTAATAGGCGCGATGTATGCTTCACCACCAGCCATCCGATGCTCAGCACTGTGTTAACCTTCCGGCCATCCAACCTCACCATCACACTCCCATCACTCTCAATTCTGTACTGATACTTCCTAAATAAAGTGAAGGAAAACACCAATCTCAAAGCTGTAAACAAATTAACAGATCCAAAAGAGGATTTGAGGGGTGGTACTATACCAATTTGTGCTGATAACTCATTTGTGTAGTTTATTTGTCCATGTGGAGTTAACTGGTGATAGGATTTGTCAGCATATCCGATACGCCGCTGCTTGTGCAGGTGAGACACAAAGGCATCATCCATCTTTTCACGAGGTGGCAGAGAGACCACACCTTTCAACACTGCCATGACATACTGAACCTGAGTAGACGTTAAGGAGTTAACACTACAAATCATAAGTGCTAAACACCTGCATGCTTCCATAGAGTGCACTAACCTGACTGGCTGACAATGTAAAATCATTTACATTAATTTGGTGAAGTCTGTACATCCTGTTGTGTTGATGTCACTTGTACTGCATCAAGCTGGCACACATCTCACATCTACCCGGGGGGTGTTTACATGGTGGTTGGAAGTCAAAATGAAGATGCAGTAGACCACCTCAATATAAATTTTTATTGTTAACCATACAATGACTTGACAGATAACTTGATGCATATACTGTACTATACATCTAAAATCATTCTAACTAAGTTAAAGAATATTATACTCTTTTAATGTTGTCCTTTACCTAAAAACTGACCTTGAAATCCTAATACTGTACAGTGGTCCTTCGGTTAACGAACGGTTCGATTAATGAAATTTTGGTTAACGAATTTGTTTTGAGTATACCGATCGGAGACTGTAACTCCAGTTACGGGGTAATCAAAGAGATACAGTCCCATAAATGCTTTTGAGTATGTGGCCCCTGACCAACACTGGCCCAATGTACATTCTGGAGCCAGTGCCTGTTTGCCACCAATACAGAGACAGGCCCACCAATTGAAATTTAAAATGAAACAAAAATAACATGTGACGATAAAATTGATCAACACAGTTTTTTATTTAGTTAATTATTTATGCTCAAATGGCAGCAGACTCATCAAAGAAATGCAGCCTATCACAAACAATTATCAATTAGGAAAAAATTTATGATAAAATTATGGTTAACATTTGACAATACAGGTATACATTCAAACTTAAAATGGGTTAACAAGCGAAAAAAAATAAATAAAAAACACAGATCCATGTGATAATAAGCTTGATCAAAACAAAAACATATCAACAGTTGATAATAAAATTTATTAACAAAAACAGGGTAAAATTGGATGAGACTAAAATCATCTAAAAACTAAACATGATAACATAAAAGACTAATAATAAAATTGATTAAAACTTAAAGTAGTTAACATTTCAGGGAAAACATTATTAGGCAGGTTAAAATATGATGACAAACAAAGCTAAATTTTGTTTAAAACTTTTCTGGATAAACATTAATTATCACAACTGAGAGGTTAAAAAACACATTCGATTTTCAATCAGATACCGCATTTCCTCTAGGCTGGGAATAGATCTTCACTCACATGGAAATACAGAGGAAGTACAGTACAGTACTGTATCTCTTGGATTTGTAATTTTTAATTGTTCATGACTACAGTAGTCTATTTATTAATTAACCCAGAAAATGCGCTTAAAGACTTTCGTGACTAAATTATTTAAGAGCATGAAAAGTTTTGTTGTTGAAGTACATTGATGCATTATAATATCAAAAGGTACTTTGTGGGTGTTTAATGTAGGTCTCGCCCTAAGAGGTCCCAGTGGGGCAAGTGGCTATATGATTAAAAATTTATAAGCCAATTATTCAAGTCTCTCTCTCCCTTCCAAGCCACAGAACTGTGGTTTGTTGTTATGGATAACAGGTACAGTGTGGAAAAATGAGAGATGTACCTGCTTGACTGTTTATATTAGACCTTTGTAAGAAGGAAATGTGTTTTGATACCTGTAATAATAAAAGCTAAAAAATCTCTAGAATATGAATATGACTGGACATTATTGATCTTATTATACCAAGAGAAACTATATATGTAATGCATGAAATATTGTATACGGTACTAATAAGACTGTGACTTACTGACACACAAATAATTTATCATTGCATTGAATATACTGTACTACTGTACTGCAGTACTGTATATGAATAACTAGTGTATGACTTACAGTAACTGTTAGAAATAACTATAAAAAAAATGTTAATGATCATCCAATCTAAGTTTCACATCATACTGACCAATTGAAACTAAATGTCTGCCCAAACAATATATTTCATGCATCTCTTTCACCAACAAACCTGCCAAACATTCACAAGTCAATGCCGGTTGTCTTTTTTTACCGGCTTTTGTCCAAGGCTGTCACCCAGTTGGAAGCAATAACAATATTCAGTAGTTAACAACCTGCACTTTGTATTTTGGCTATATGGTATACTGTACTGTATAGTTACTGTGTCCTCTTCACTCTATTCAGAAGTTGTGAGCAACATCCAGAGATGGTGTTAATTGAAGAAGAGGCTTTTAAGTTTCTTAGAGAGAAAGGAAGTTGTAAGTTTGATGACCCCAAAAAAGTCATGTAGTAATAGGCGCGATGTATGCTTCACCACCAGCCATCCGATGCTCAGCACTGTGTTAACCTTCCGGCCATCCAACCTCACCATCACACTCCCATCACTCTCAATTCTGTACTGATACTTCCTAAATAAAGTGAAGGAAAACACCAATCTCAAAGCTGTAAACAAATTAACAGATCCAAAAGAGGATTTGAGGGGTGGTACTATACCAATTTGTGCTGATAACTCATTTGTGTAGTTTATTTGTCCATGTGGAGTTAACTGGTGATAGGATTTGTCAGCATATCCGATACGCCGCTGCTTGTGCAGGTGAGACACAAAGGCATCATCCATCTTTTCACGAGGTGGCAGAGAGACCACACCTTTCAACACTGCCATGACATACTGAACCTGAGTAGACGTTAAGGAGTTAACACTACAAATCATAAGTGCTAAACACCTGCATGCTTCCATAGAGTGCACTAACCTGACTGGCTGACAATGTAAAATCATTAACATTAATTTGGTGAAGTCTGTACATCCTGTTGTGTTGATGTCACTTGTACTGCATCAAGCTGGCACACATCTCACATCTACCCGGGGGGTGTTTACATGGTGGTTGGAAGTCAAAATGAAGATGCAGTAGACCACCTCAATATAAATTTTTATTGTTAACCATACAATGACTTGACAGATAACTTGATGCATATACTGTACTATACATCTAAAATCATTCTAACTAAGTTAAAGAATATTATACTCTTTTAATGTTGTCCTTTACCTAAAAACTGACCTTGAAATCCTAATACTGTACAGTGGTCCTTCGGTTAACGAACGGTTCGATTAATGAAATTTTGGTTAACGAATTAGCTCCCATAAGGATTTTCAGATCGACTAACGAACAAAACTTCGATTAACAAAATCCTTACGACAAACACGTTTTGTTGTGCGCATCAGCTGATCGGCCAGTCCGCCAATTCAGTAATCAGTTCTATGTTTACATTCGTTTCCAGTGGAGTAAATATCAAGAAAGTTGGTCTCTTGAATATTTCTGCATTTTTTTACTAAAATTATTGAACATTCTGAAATTTAGTTAACATATTGTTAGTAAAGACGGTACTGTACAGGGAACAGTTTTTGTGCACCCATCAGCTGATTGAATCACCCAACAACGCTTCTCAGTTTAACATTGTTTACAGTGGAGTGAACATCCAGTTTGTCGGTCTCTTGAATATTTTTTGCATTTTTACATTAAAATTATTGGTCATTCTGAAATTTAGTTAACATATTGATAATATACAGTGCAGAAATTATTATGAAACACAAAGAAGGCATTAGAACCAATGCACTCTGTAAAGAATATGGCATGTCATCATCGACTGCCTCTACAATCAGCTGTTTGATATGTAAACAAAGCTGCCAGGAATACGACATCCACACTTCAAAGTAAGTTAAAATACAGTATTCTATTGTTTTTTATTTATTATTGTACAGTATACTGCATTTAGTTTATATTTAATGTTTTGTTAATTTCATTACCGGTATACAGTACTTTGTATGTATACTGTTTCTGTGAATTGGAACCAATTATCCAATATCCCATTGAAATAATAGACTCGGTTAACGAAATTTTTGGTTAATGAACGACTCTGTGGAACGAATTGTGTTCGTTAACCGAAGGACTACTGTATTCTTAAATTAAAAAAAAAAATCACTATGTAATGAAGAATGCGATACAGTAGCAGGAAAAAATAAGCCCATAATTTAAATGATATAATGCCTATAACTAATTTCTAATTACTAATTATTTGGTTTAGTTAGTTTTCAAAGTAAAGTATACTGTTCACAACACTGATTGTCATTTTCAGGTATGGGGTACCAGTAATTGTAATTTGAAATTTATTGTAATTAATGATATTTAATTGAAATTGATTGCAATTAATAATTTTTAGTTGTAACTTATTAAAAAAATTAAAATTTTAATTGATTGTAATTAATTAAAAATTTACAGTACTGTAACTGACAAGTACTGTAATTGTAAATTAACTGCAAAAATTACTGGACAGTATGTTCAAAGTGACAATACTGTACAATAATTAATACAATGTTTTAGTGAAAATGTAGGATTTCAATGATTGCAGTAATTTCTTTGTTAGCCAGAATTTTTAATCACTGTAACTCCCCATCAGCCGGATTTATTTATTTTTATTTATTTATTATTATTTTTTTAGAGAAATTCCGGGATACAGTGGGGTATGCTATAACGAACAGATCCTACTACGAATATTCCTATAACGAACGGTTTTACCTATAAAATTGAGAATGCTATAACGAACGCAACTCCTACAACGAACGCGGATGAATACCGGACTATTTCGCCTGGCGCATGAATATTGTTGTACCGCGACCCACAACAAGAACGTCAGGCGCCATCTTTGTCTCAATGTGTAGCCAGTGCACCACTGTTATTGTTGAAATTTCGTCTTTTGATGTGGAAATAGAGTTATTTGTATAAATATTTTGTTATACAAGTGTACAATTGTGACAATGAATCGTCCAAAGCGAGTGAGGAAGCTCATAACTCTTGAAACTAAGAAAGAAATCATAAAGAAACGTGAGGATGGAACAAGCATTGCGAAACTTAGTGATGAGTATGGGATGGCTAAATCGACTATACCGTATGTACGATTTTAAAGAATAAAGAGGAGTCGAAAACTGTGCAAGTGGCTAAGGGAATCTCTAGACTTAGCAAAGCAAGGTGTAATGTGATTGAGGAGATGGAAAATTTACTCTTAGTGTGGATAAAGGAGAAAGAAATGGCAGGTGATAGCATTAGTGAAGCTATAATTTGTGAGAAGGCCAGACAATTGTTTAAGGACCTTAAAGCCAAGACTCCCAGTGCAAGTGATAGTGATGTGCCAGTGTTTATGGGTACCAAGGGGTGGTTTACTGGTTTCAGAAGGAGAAATAAAATACATAGTGTTGTGAGACATGGTGATGCTGCTAGTGCTGATAAGGAAGCAGCGAAGGAACACCATGACATTTTTTTGAATATTATTAAAGAGGGAGGCTTTGTTTCTCAGCAGGTATTCAACTGTGATGAAACTGGACTATTTTGGAAAAAAATGCCTCGCCATACATACATTACCAAGGAGGAAACTTCTGTCCCTGGCCATAAGCCAATGAAAGACAGGCTTACCCTCCTTCTTTGTGCTAATGCTTCTGGTGACTGCAAAATAAAGCCACTCCTTGTGTACCATGCAGAAAACCCCAGAGCTTTAAAAAACACTAGGAAGACCCGCCTTGGTGTTATGTGGCGGTCAAACCCAAAGGCTTGGGTGACCAGGAATTTATTCTCTGAGTGGGTGATTGAGGTGTTTGGACCCAGTGTTCGGGAATACCTCAGGGAGAATAATCTTCCACTGAAAGCTTTGTTGGTGATGGACAATGCACCAGCCCACCCTCCTAATTTGATGGTTGATTTGCCAGAGGAGTTGAACTTCATCACTGTGCACTTCTTGCCACCCAACACAACACCTCTCATCCAGCCCATGGATCAACAGGTAATTTCTAACTTTAAGAAGCTGTACACAAAGGCACTGTTTAGAAAATGTTTTGCGTCCACTTCTTCCAGTGATGTTAGCTTGAAGGAATTTTGGAAGAGTCACTTCAATATAGCAGATGCCGTATTTTTAATTACCTCAGCCTGGAAAAAGGTTACTGTGAGGTGTCTTTGTGCTGCTTGGAGGCCATTGTGGCCTGAATGTGTCCTTCAAAGAGACTTTGAAGGCTTCGAAGAGTTAGAAGAAGAAGCTGTTGTTTATGAAATTGTGGCTCTGGGCAATTCCATGGGCCTGGAAGTGGATGATGATGATGTTGAGGAGTTGGTGGAAGAGCACAGTAAGGAATTGTCCACTGAGGAGCTGCTTGAGCTTCACAAAGAGGAAAACGAGACACTGAAGCGGAGCTTAACTTCTGAGGAGTCAGGGGAGGAGGAGGACAAGGAGGAAAGCCGCATCATTCCGGCCAAAGATCTCAAGGATGCGTTCTTTTGCTGAAGCAAACTGTCCAAGCTTGCTGAGGATTATCATCCTGATGTTGGTTCTGTGCAAAAGGCCATCAGTGTGTTCAATGACAATGTTATGAACTACTTTTGGAAGGTCCAGAAATCAAGGTTGAAGCAGCCAACCCAGGATTCCTTCTTTACAAAGATAACAAAAGAACATACAGACAAAGTGCCTGTGAGACAGTCACCAAAGAGGGCTAGGAAGGATGACTCCTCTCCTTCCACCTCTTCTCAATAATTCTCTCCTCCCCCCTCCCCCTCTGCCTCCTGTCCTGCATGCTGAACAACACTAAGGTAAGATAAAGTACCGTATTTTTTATATTTTCCACAGAATTTTTTCAGTGTTAAGTGGTTGTATTTGGGGGCCTGGAACGGATTAATCCTATAACGAACGAATGCTATAACGAATGAGGTTCTGGAACCAATTACGTTCGTTATAGCATACCCCACTGTATATCTCTTCATTCTGGATATGGGAATGAATTTCTGAGGAATGCATCATGCACATTTCTGGAAAATGTAGAGAAAATCTCTTTGTTCCACGAGTGGGAACTTATTTTCAAGTGATTGCATTATGTTTCAGACATGGGGACGCATGTTGAGCGAGTGGGTGGGTAAGCTCCAAGTTCTTGTGAGCTATGATTGGACACTACTGGCATGTAACTGCAAGGGATGCCTATGATTGGCTGATGCATCTCGCAGACTATCTCCTCAAACTCTTGCATCATAACACTCTTAGTTCATTGTCTGCTGCCATTGTACAAGCTTGTTAGCTCGCTCACTGATGTTTTCACAAATGATCGATGCCTATGATTGGCTGATGCATCTCGCAGACTATCTCCTCAAACTCTTGCATCATAACACTCTTAGTTCATTGTCTGCTGCCATTGTACAAGCTTGTTTGCTCGCTCACTGATGTTTTCACAAATGATCGATGTCATGTAGTACAGTATGTTACTGTACCACATATAATCAGCCAAGAATACCGTTTAAAGCAGTATAAAGACATAAAAAGTGATTACATTATGCATAGTGTAATACAGGTATACATTCAGCAAGTGTGTAAGTATGGTGCCATATTATGCACAGTGTGCTATACATTCAGCAAGTGTGTCTAGATGGTCCCTTGGTTAACGAGCACAATCCGTTCTAGAAGGTTGCTCGTTAACCGAAACCATTGTTTCAATGGGTTTTTGGGTAATTGGTTCCAGCTCACCGAAAATTGCCTAAATTCAACAAAAAAGGTAGAAAAATACACTTACTTTGAGGTGTGTATGTAGAAGGCTCCTGGATGATGATGATGCTGATGATGGGAATTAGAATGGGGGTGGAGGAGAAGGGAGAA